GAACCACATCGTTGGCTGTGTGGGATCCAGCCACCTGAGCCACCAGACCATGGGCTGGCCTTCTCATCTTTTAAAATCTAGCACAAGCATATCCTTCAAGACCTCTTTTAAATTTTTTTTTTAAAGTTACTTTATTTAATGTAAAACAGACAGAAAGGAACCTTTCCAGGGTCTTGCTATGCCCTGATCCCCTCCCCCAGCTTCCAGCCAGCCAATATCATGGGTCTGCCCGTGGGAATACCCGACATGTTCAAGTCAACTGAGCTCTAACCCCAAGACCTTCCCATATAGCTTCAGTATCACACGGCAGAGTCATACCAGTGCCTCCACTGAGGCTGGGCCCTGGGACCAAGGTTCCTTTTTTTTTTTTTGCTCTATTGGGTACATGTACACTCATCAGAAACCAAGAGAGAAACTGAGAAATCACTCCTTAAGGGAATAGGATTTGAACCACGGAGTTAGCCATGTAGGACCCAGCACCTTAACTTCCATGAAACCTACTGGCTCCCAAGATTCCTTTTTTACTATTATCTTCCCTATTATTCCTTCACCTCCACTAGACTAGGTAGCTGTCCCTTTCTGTGCCCCCAAAATTTGCATGCATCTTTGTTAATGTTTTTTCCATTGTTTCTTTTAAACCAAATTGTGAGTTCCTTCAGGACAAGGGTAGCTCTATATTATCCATCTTTGTGTTCCCTGTGCATGGTCTAGTCATGGAACAGATGTGGCCCTCTGATGTTATGTCAGTTGGTATTTAAGTCAATTTGAGGATATCCATCACTTGAGTCCCTAGTCAGAAGACTGGTGTGCAGAGAGAGACGTCAAAAAGTGATCTGGAGACCAGCAGATGATGTAGTAGTTACCACTGGATTCCCACATTGACTGGCTGTGGTTTGAATCTCAGATCCAGCGGCTTGAAAATCACATAGGGTGTGTTTAGGTCAGTGCATGCCCAAAATCCTGAGAGAAGAATGTAAGAGAAGGGATTTTGGCATGGTCATCCCCCCTGGGGGTGATTCCTCGCTTTCCTTCTCTTTATTTCTCTCCTCTATGGAGAGCCCACATACCCTATGGAAAAATCTTTAAAAAAAAAAAAGTAATTTGTATCTCAGAATATATCCCTGGATCTCCTAGGGCAGGTGATGAAGTTTCTAATGATAATGTAGATTGTTAAACGTACCCCCTTCAATACCAGTCATTTCAGCAATCGTTATAATTAGGATAGCCCTTTTCCTTACTGTTCGTGCAACTGAAAGAAACTCCTGATAAAGGAAAATGTGTGCAATTTATGTTTTCAGAGACAGAGGTCAATTAACTTCTCTCCCATTGGATGCAGTAAACACTGAGTTACCTAAGGGTTCGGAGAGGGCTGCAGCAGCAACGTTCTGGCTGAGATTAGCCATGCTTTACTCTTGTTTTGTTTACTGTAATGAACTGGTCAATAAACATCACAAATTGTTTATCTATATAAATCTTGACAGATTACTCTTTATGAAATCCATTTAGCAAGTGAGGTTTTCCCATAAGGATGAAAAATGAAGATTTTAAACAGATTGCGGGGGAAGCTCTGGCTGTACCAGGAGAGTCAGTGTAATAAAGGTTTCTTTATATTAATATTACAAAAACCATTTATCCTGGCAAAATCAATATCACAATTCATCTTAGTTTGGTGTTTCTCTTTCTAAGCTTAAAATGTCTTTTCCTTTATCATGTGTAATTTTGTTTTAATAAACGGCAAACACATTTCATTTAGGAGGTACTCATGAGGAGGGATAACTTAAAATGACATCAGACTTGTAGCTTATTGGCTAAAGAGTCTCGGAAATGTGTAAAATTATATTTGAGAGGCTGAGAAATGTACAGGAATCATTTTACTTTAACCTTAATTAAAAAAATTATCCCCAGTGTCCTTTAGACTAGAAACAAACATATCAATGTTCATAAAAAAAATCTTCAATGAACTTCATTTAGGAAAATTTCATTCGTCTCTTACTGATATTAAGCAATTATAATAAGTCAGATAAGTTGAATATAACAATGGATGAGAGAAGACAAGAAAATCAAGAACAGATATATTTAATTACTCAAAATATTGCAGGCTTTCCTAAGAAGTGATTTATTTATTCCATTTGGATTTGAAACTTAATATTGCATGGATATTGACATAACCGACTTGGAGTTATGTGTGTAGCAGTTGGCTGGAAGAAAATAGAAGTTCATCACAGAAAAGAATTATGTTATACTCTGGAAACTATTGCTCTAAATGTCCTGTATGTAAAGGAACTGTGACTGTCTCATGAGTGAATGGTAATAAAAACTGAAATACTCCAGAGACACTTCTGAACACCTGAATAGCATAGTGAAATACACATACATTGTAACATACACATACATATGTGTGTGTACACTCACACATCGGGAGAAGTTTGCTTCTTATAGTTACATACAAACAATACATGGTAAATAACAGTCATCATGAAATTAAGGACAAATCAAACTTTTTGTTGCCTCTTTAATTTCAATGTGTAGTTTTATTCAGTGCTAATACTTCTCCTAAACCAAACATCTCTTTGGAATGGAATTCTGATGCCATGGGTATTGCTAAAGGACCTACTAGAGTTGTGTGTAGG